GGGTGAGGGGAATCCTGCACGCCGTGTTCGAGAAGCAGAGCCGCCTGCGGGACCCCGTCAAGGGCTACCAGGCGCTCAAGCTCAAGAACCTCATCACCAGCTGGGCGTGCAAGATGGAGGTGGGCGACTGCCTGGAGCAGACCCGAGAGCTGTTCGCCCAATGGCGTGCCTCCCCGCAGCCGGACAAGAGCAACCCGTGAGTAGTGGCACCCGTTTGTCCTTGGAGGGTCTTACATAGTCCAGAGGACGAGTGACGTGACGAGTCCCGTGTGTTTGTTCGACCCTCACAGCATCCCGCCGGACCACCGCGCCCTCGTCTACTGCTACGCCATCCGGCACGGCAAGTCCCAGGACTGGCACTGGCTGTGGCAGCGCTACCTCCGGTCCAACGTGGCCTCGGCGCGCGTCACGATCCTGGGCGCGCTCGGCTGCTCGCGCGACCTGTGGGTGCTGCGCCGCTACCTCGAGTGGAGCATCGACAAGGAGTCGGGCGTGCGCCTGCAGGACTCGGTGTACGTGTTCAACGCCGTGGCGAGCAGCGAGGTGGGCTACCCCATCGCCCGGGACTTCCTGTACACGCGCACCGAGAGCATCACCAAGTAGTAAGTGGTGGCGCGTCGGCGTCTCCTCTGTAGGTCGGCGGACGGGACGCTCGGGCCGCGAGGACTGACGGGTTCTGCTTTCTCTCTGCAGCTTCGGCGCCAGCTCCACCCGCATCGGGCGCTTCGTGAGCGCCATCGCCACGCGCGTGACCACGCCCGAGGAGTACGACCAGGTGATGAAAGGCCTCGCGCCATATGCCGCCGCAGTAACAACCTAATGCCGACTCGTCGCGATCTAACTTTGGCACCCTCTCCTGTCACAGCTCGTCGAGTACACCAAGAAGAGCAGCTCCTTCCTGACGCACGCCGACCAGGCCGTCAAGCAGGGCCTCGAGAACGCCCTCATCAACGTCGAGTGGAGGCGGGACCACGCCGACGAGATGTTCAAGACCATCGGCACCCTCCACTTCAGCGCTCTCAGCGATGTCGACTGAGGTGCAAAGGGCGTTAAAACGATTTTCGTCGGGTGTAGAAAGCTATCGTACTCCCTCCCCCTTCCCCCAATTTAGCAACCCCCCTTCCATTTAATGTTCTGACACCCACCCCCTCTATTAATATTGTTTTTTGCAATTTGAATCTAGACTTTATATTTCGGGGATGCACAATGTTCACGAAATTTGTCTGTTTGAGGAGACGTGGGTCTCTTATTTCAATTCCGTACAGAGAAACCCGGTATTACGATAGCGAAAGAGGTTCGTCTTTCTAAGGTTCACTTTCTGCGTAGTACAGTCGTGTTGGCTGGTGCGCAAGTAGAAAGAGACTGGCTGTCTGTCGCCGTTCGGAGGCCAGCGCGTATGGTGCGGGGCAGAGCGCCCGCTCGTCATGAAGAAAGGCCTGCCGGCCAGCGTCGTCTGCTGGGCCATCCACCCCTCCTCCGTCTGGACAGGGGAAAATCGTGTGTCGTCGCGCAGCTGGGCTACGGTGCCCCTTCGACAGACACCATGGCCGTAGATCGGTACATCGTGTTGGTGAACGGCTAGCTGTAGACAGCGTAGATGGCAGGCTGTTGCGGACTAGCAGCACACGGGGAGGACGGCGAGCGAGGTGGCAGTGGGCACGTCACGGTTCGGCATTCTGAGGTTTACAGTCGTCACTGTAGTCTCACCCTCTACATGGTATACTATATAAGTTTACAGGCTGCTGGCCGGTTCGCAGCCGCCGCCGGTAGAGAGGGGCTGGCACTTCGCTGCCATAGCCATCCGGAAGCCAGCGGTGGGGCTGCTCCCCGAACATTTTATGTGTGCCAATCTAGTTTTCATTGAATGTCATTTTACGTTTGTGATTTTGCGGAATGGTCCCATCGTGATTTTAACTCAATGTAGATTTAATGTGCAGAGTGGCTCATTTTGGCAGAATAAACTTTAATTTTTGTATGATAAATCTTGGTTCCCTGTTTGTTAATTTCAACACCTCCCTGCACGAATTGATGACGTTCAAGAAAGGTGCACGGGATTTTTGTTACTAGCTATAACCCATAACCCATCCCGCTGCCATCAGCCTGCAGAGCACAGGGTAGGCAAAACAACGCACCACTGTCATAGTGTTGCCTACCTCCCAGGCGCTCGCCCACGAGCATTTGTTCGGAGCAGCTGTTCTCTAAATCCAATATGGGATTCACTTCAGTTAATGAAACTGACATAGTCTGAACAAATGACGAAGGAATAAAAATTGTTACGTAATTTATAACATATGGCACTCAAAAGTATTCACAGAAAGAATATTCATTTCTTAACCCGATACAAAATTACAACTGGCTTATTATTCAATAAGACAAAAATCTGTGCAAAGCTTAACAATTTACGTCACTTTTTTAAAACAATAAAAATAACATGTGATTAGGAGAGGAGTCAGTCGTCCAGAGGGAGGGCCTCGGCCACCCTGGCACGGCTCAGGAAGTCGGTGCGGGAGATGTACGCTCCAGCCACCCACCTGACTCCAGTGAAGGCGCTGCGGCCGTGCAGGACGCGCCAGTTGTCCACGAAGAGGACCTGGTCCGGCCGGAGCTGGAGCCACCACTCGCCGCTGGGATCGCACACGGCCTTCGAGAGCAGCCCCATCGCCTGGTACCACTCCATGACTTTGGAAAAGGGAACGGTGTTCATCGGAGAGCGGTCATACAGATTGTACCTAGAGGGGAAATGCACGGAAACATACTTGAGCATTAGAGTACTGGAGTTGGTCAGACAAGGAAGGTAACTATTGAAGATTTTAAATTGCTACCTGATTTGACGGAATTTTCCTGTTATAGGGTGCAGACTGAGAACAGGGGATGTTAGACAGTGGTGCTGTCCTTTCTCCAAATACTCTCCTTGGATACAAGTTTCTGTCAAGACTTGAAAGCTATTTATATCTTCGTCTTTAACAGTTTGAGCAGCACGGAATCCATCAACTAATAGTGTTTTACCACCTTCGCCCTTGTGGTCAAGTACGTGGAATACTTGCAAGCTGTTTAAAGGAAAGATTATTAAAATGAATTTAGTATGAAATAACAAATTGTATGCTCTGTTTACCCAGCTGCCTCTGAGAAATATGTGTTATCGGTATGTGCTTTCAATGCCTGAGAGCCATATGCAGTGTCTTCATGGTATTCACTTGGCTTCATTTCCCACAAATCGCCAAATAATGTCTTCTGTGGTGGTGCTACCCGAGAAATCACTTTTTCTGTAGCTTCAACAGTTGGATCAACCTGAGTAGTGAAATTGGAATTATTCAATGTCGTATGATGGCTGGGTGTAATCACACACTAAGCAGAACTTTACTCACACCTTCCACAAGACCAACCCCTAGAGAAGTAAGGGATTTCATAAGCTGGGTCAAGCCTTCGTCAGTTTCAAGGAAGGATTTCATTGGAACATGAGCTACAGACTCGGGAAATCCCTTCCAAAGGATTCTAGTTGGGGCTGAGACTCTATTACTGTATGAATCAAACGTTTGCATACTCAACCATGGAATGGAATATTTCGATGTGTGTCCATCTCTCCCTAAAAAATGATATTTTTTAATTGGAAAGTATATTATTTGATATAAAAATAACGCTTAGTTGTTGGATGATTCTTACACTCTACTTCAAGATCATCGCCCACAATCTTACAGTCTTTGGGTTGGATAGAAAATGGAATGCTAAATAAATCCAAGTTCCTTTGGTGCGTAGAATGGTTGTAACAGGCTGCACACCTAATTAAAGAGACTTTATAAATAATTTTAATTTGATGAATTTGGATAGTGGGGATGCTGCCCCAAATTTTAATGAAATTTCAAAAGAGAGTTACAACTAATCTACTAAAACATACCTGCAATGATCTCTTAGCCAAAAATAGTGAAATTTCATTGCCACGGAATCTAAGGATGACACAGTGTTTTGGTATGACATCACGAGATGATCATCAAGAAGCTTTAAGTCTGGATACAAAAACGCAAACAGAATTGAAATGTTGAGAAAAGTCCATGTATGACAAAGGGTCACAAAAATGTATATACAGTTAGTGAACTCACCGTCATTATTAGAACTTATTTTGGTAAACTGCTGCTCAGACATCAATCGCTCTTTCGTTATGTAATTCTTGGGTGTTGATAGAAATTGCTTTGAAGTGAAGAATCGGCTCAGATGTTTCAACTTCATCACCCTTCCATAAAGAGCCATATTTCGGCTGATTTAAAAGTTAATGAAAAACACAAGGTTAGGATAATTTTTTTAAAAGCATCTGGTGCCCTGTTAAATTTTGCTTCAATGGAAACATTGTTCTCTATCTTCTAGATGTATCAGTGACAACTTCTTAAACAAACACAACAAAATTAATACAAATAATGCAGCAATATTTACCCTTCTAAAAGTATTT